CCAAAGATTCATTCAAATTCATAAGTGATTAAAGAAGCTAGAAATTTTTTCATACTTGTCCGACTGTTTTTTGGTTTGAGGTTTTATGACACATTTGATTATTTACTTGCTGTTATTTTTTAAATGAAAATCCTTTTTAGCCAGAAAAGCTAACAGATTTTTTACGATTTTTAACTTTGTGCTACTGAAACAACGATAATACTTTAAATACATAATCTTTTTTCATTTATTGATAAATTATTGATAATGATGCGAGGTATTATTTTCATAATATCCTAAATGACTTCTGATGCAATTTTATCTTGTCATCAAAAAATAGCGATTGTGACATTTTTAAAATAAAAAAAAATCACAATTTTATTACTCATCAAATGAGTTAAAATCAGGTTTTGAATATTTAAATAATAACGAATAACTGCTAATATCAAAAGCGATATATGTATTAAAAATAAATTAACTGATTTTGGATTAGTTCATGAATTAATTTATACTCAAAATGATAAAATTACGCATGACATTAATTCAAAATGAAAAACGTCTATTTTTGATTCAAAATTTTATCAATGAAAGCTTGCCATTCGTGGAGTTGTCAATTTTTCGTAATTTCAGCTTTTTTTTTTACAATTCACTAAGGAAATTGTTTACGGCAGCAAATATTTTCTCATTCAAATCTTTAGCAATAATAAAAACGTTAGATTTCTATTATAAAATATGATCTCATTTCTAAAATTATGATAATGCGTTTTTTCTTAGGTTGTATTATAGTGTGATTGCAAAAGAGAAATATAGTAGTAAGGAAGAATTATTGGATGTTCGTATTCATTTAATTACAAAAAAATACACAATATTTGGTATATAGCAGTTGAGGAGAATGAAGCGTACTGTCAGTAACTGTCAGTTACATTGAAATCAAAACTTTATTACTATGCGTCATTGCTATACACACTGTTGCCATCAGTATCAAAATTGAAATATCATTCGCATGATCCATAATAATATTTATTAACCTAAATTGAATTGCAGTGTCAAACCAATCTTCTCGTATTACTGACATGTACTATTTTATGTGTAATCTAAAATATCAAACGTTTAATACAAAATTTAGTCATCTTTTACTCATGTCTGTTTACCTTCTATTAATTCACTATGAAAATAAATGATATAAGCGATGAAATAAACAGAAATTTTAAGTCGAATAATAATCTTTAATCATTAAAAAGATGTTTTGTTTAAAAAAATCACTGACATACATATTGATAAAGTAGTTTTTGATCGTTGAGATCCCATGGTAAGTATAACAATTTAAATTCAAGTTCAGCATAGCAATTTGAATTCAAGTTTAGGATAACAATTTAAATTCAAGTTCTTTTTACTTTTTGTTTTTGATTTTATGAACTAATCATCTAATTGCAGTTAATTAGTCATCTATAAATTAGCATTAAATCAGTGCACTGATTCCTTCCCAAACAGTCATAAGGAATGAAAAAATAGTACCACAGTAATGGAGTTACTTTTGTAAACAGTAACTGCCTGACATAATCTTAAAAGTGCAAGCATTTCTATGTGTTTTCGTCAAACATAGTTGTGTTTTGATCTCTGTCTTAAGCACTTATCCTATCACTCTGCTATCTTTTTTCCATTCTAAATTGTTTATCATTATTAATGCATACAGTTATTATTACAATCGTTACTTTAATCAATTCTGCTCAATACGTGCCAGTCGTTATCAAAAGGAAGCGTAGCGTTTATATAAACATTGCATCAGTCTTACTTCAAGGTTTGAGCAGTCGAGTAGTTGCAGTCATGTCAAAGTGCACCTGTGGTTAGTCATTTCATTTCTCTTATCATTCTGTTATATGTATTTTTTGGGCTTTATTTCTCATAACTCTTTTGATAGAAATTATTTGATTGAAATTCAATTAAATATAGAATGATCACTGGAAATGGTTATAATTATTAATTTTGTCAAATTAAAATTTGAATATGACTCATGTATAGTTTATGCTAATTAGTTAGTAAAAGGCAGAAATTATTAGTCACCAAAGCAATTATTATATCTTTTTTTAAATATTTTAGCTAGCTTTTTAACTAAACATATACTTTTTGACTATCAATTTTAAAGCTCAAGTATGAATTTCACATTCAAAAAATTGGTGACTTCTTGTTGCTTCAATAAAAGATTCATTTTAACATGATAAAACTGTATTTGCGCAATTACATGACGAATTGTGTTGAGAAATCGTATGGTTTTTGCACATGTGTAACAACGCTTAAACTTTCAAATTTCGTTTTGAGCAAAATAATGGTCAAGAAGTAACTATACTTTGATTAATGTTGCTTTACATGGGCAACAACAGGTTTCTGTATAAGCAAAAATTGCTCTTTTAAAAAAAGTACCAACTATCTTTGCTTAATAAACTTTGATGATAATTAAAAACTGATAGTTTATTCTTGTGCTGTTATTACATTCATTGAGTACAAGACAGACAGACATAAGATCGAAAATTCTGCAAATAATACGTATAAAATTTTTACTTTTATCACATATTAAAAGACTACAGAACTTAAATGTAAATCATCAAATAACACTAATAAATAGAACAAATATAAACAAATTAATAGATGTAATTTGATGCATTTCTTAAAAAAATTAAGTTAAAATGGAACAAATAACATGTCTTGTTTTGAAAATAACCCTAGAAATTTCTAATTTCCAGGTAAAATGGTATGAAATATTTTTGCTGAAGTTTATTGACATTTTTAACATTTTAGAGTGATCATTTATTTATTATCAATTTGAAAAATGAATTGTACTGCAGGGAAAAATTTGCTTACTTGAATCATCATTCAACCTTTAATAATGTGACATTTGATCAATTTGGTTTTATCATAATAGTGAAGACGTAGTCCATATAATCAGTAATTTACGCTTGAACAAAATTTGAGCTTTAATAAAATACTCAGTTAGCCTTTACTTTCATTTGCTACTACTTATGATGTGTCATTTTTTTTTCAGGATGCCAAGAAGGAAAACAGTGTACATGTCAAGATTGTCCTGACAAAACAAAAGAAAAATCAAAATGTTAGTTCGTTTATGCATTTTGCACTACTACTGCTGTGTGGACCAAAACAGAAAAAAACGAATAAAACCTCCAAGGAGTTTTCTAGAATTTTCCAAAATAAAATCATTAAGAATTAATTTATTTCTGTTTCAATATTTAAAACTTTCTTGGGAATTACACTGCGTAATTTCACACTACTAGTGATACTTAAGATAGTTAAGTTTAATTGAAAGAAGGTATACTAACATTTATCCGTGTGTTTTTAATGCGACTTTTTAACAAAAAAAAATATATGGTTTCTTTTTTCATTTTTTGCCAGCAGAGAACGAAATATATTACTTTCAATCTTCGATAATACAGTTTGAATTCGCTCATTAGATTCGTGATCGAGTGAAAATAAAATATAAGATTTGATATTTACTTTGGTCGCAAATTGAGTGACTGCATTGACCTAATTTTTTCATAAATACATGAGAAAATATAATGCACCTTTTAACCACTATATTTCGGCTCAAATTATTTTTTATTCACATAGATACGTATGAATTTCGATTATGCTACGCACTGAAACAGCTAATTATTTTCTTAATTAATATTCTAGGTTGCAAGGATCAGAAATGTTGTGAAGGAAGCAAACATGGTCAAGATCATAAGTGCCATGGCACTGCTAAGGAAGAAACCAAATGATGAATGAGAAAATGCATTCATTATTTACAGAAGTAAGAATGAATATAAAATCGTCACTTTCAACTTTATTATTGTCGAAATTACATGAACTCAAAGAAATATATTTATCTAACGTATGCGCACATTTGTATAGCGAAAAAAACAAAATCCTAATAAAATAGTCAGAGGTCAAATGTTACTAGTAGATACTAAACTTTTCTATAAATATAAACCTTTCAAAAAATGTAACATTTTTATGGCTACTGTAAATGCCCATTGTGATGTAAGTTCACTTTTTCGATCGAAGGATTATGACATTTGATCTTTTTTCAAAAAAACTGCTGTAACAAAGTAATACATCGATTCTTATAATTTCAAACGTTGCTTCCTTGAATAATTATCAAAATTATAGCATATATAGTGAAAACAACTATACGATAAAATATTACATCTTCTTTATTTCAGGCTTTGCTACACAATTTTAAGGAATCGCAATGGCCTCACACCTGATTATCCCACACTTTTTTAAATATTTTCAAAGAAAAGTTCTGTTAATGCTTACTGTCTTAAACATTGGTAATGTCTTGCATGTAATTCTTCTTCACTGTAACCACGAATTTCAGATGATTATTGCGTAAATGTCAAAATGTTCCATAGTAAGCATCTGATCTACACCTTATTTACTTCTTCCATCAAAATAATCTTTTCCATATCCTGTAAGAATGAGGTACACAAAGCAGAAAGCAAACAGAAGAATCATCCACTCATCAGATTTTATTTATATAAATGAATAAGTTTGTATGATGCTGACATTCATATCAAAAGAGATAAACCAGGAGGATCAAGAATTAAGCTAAATAACAGAATGAACATGAGAACACTGATTTAAATATAGCTGTAAGCGTGGGATTTTAGCATAAAAACAACATTAAAGGACAAAATTAGAGGTAAACGAGAACGAACTAGTTAGAAAATACACCAAAAGCATTACACAACGATTTGTTCAAATTGTATTTCCACAAGTGATCAACAATTGTTTAATACCTAATTTCAAGGTTCTAACTTGACTGAAAAACTAAAAGCATTTACACGATTTAGAACTGTGACATTTTCATTCACCTACAGATATTTCCTTTGAAAGACAACAACAGTACAATTTTGAAGCACATGAATTTCAGTCGCAATAAATCACTTAAAGTCATCAAAACAGATTTTTTCCTTTCAGATCTCAGAATGCAATAAAGTATTCTAGCAGAATGCCCACTATAGTACTTATGATCGAGAATGGTAAAACAATTTATAAAACATAACAGCATTTAAAGATACACTAAAAAGTGTTCCCACGACACAAAGAACACTGAAAACTGTGAATTTCCTTAATCCATCTGTTACACCTGCTGAAGTACATGTTGATGGAGAGAATGAGTTCACATAACGCGAGGAACAAAGTTCACGACCTAAAAAAATTCTATCGCCTACACTTGGAATCCGCAAGCGTGGTTCTGCTAGCACCGGCTTCTTCATAGAATCAAACGGACCTACAATCAAGAAATATAAATCTTTGACTTATGAAACAAGAATGCGATAATTGTATTATTCATTATCAAATATTATATGAACTAATTTTCTAACACTTCTTGTTGAACTTAATTTGCACTCGATACAGGACGAAAAATCAAAAATAGGAGAAAACGCATTTCAAAATATGACCTCGTCTCCGCTGCACGGACGAGGTTGATAAAGAAGGTGTAAAATCAGCTCCAAGAGACAGTGAATCAAAGAGTTTTCCCAGTTCTCTTGTTGGAGTTGACGTTTTGGACGACGTACTTTTATCTAGTATACTTTTCGACAAAGACTGATTTCCACTGGATGTATTGGTAGAAATGGTACTACACTGCGATAATGGAGTACTAGCTATCGAAAATGCACTATAAACATCACATAGTAATGAGATCGTCGGTTATTACTACCATGATATAACTATATCAAATATAGTAGACCAATTCTACACGTAAATAAAAGCAACATGGATTGGTTACCTATTTTAATAATTGAGGTATTTTCGTTTTATCGCATATATGCAGACGTCAATTTGAATAATAAATATGGAACAAAAACATCATAAATAAAAGCATAGCAAAATTCTAGACTACTACAAGTAAACAAGTACCTTTTAATAATATTGTTCGATCGTTTTCGATGCAACAGTTTCCGAGGCAAAAATGCAACAGCAAACGAAACTAGACATAATACAGATGAAAGGCTTAGCTGTGAAAACAAATCCTGTTTTTCTCCTTTTCTAATATTCCACAATAACAATAAACACCTGAACCAATATTTGTTTAATTTTTTTCCTATAAATTTCTTTTGGAGAAAAAGATCGCTATAGCTTTGTAGACAAAAAAATTAAAGTTCTTATTTTAAGACACATTGAGAGTGAAAAAAGTAGCCTTTAATTTCTGACAAAAAAAAAGAGAAAAATGTTACTAACCAAATGCAAAATGCGACAATATCAGGCAGAGAGCGTCTAGTATGCATTAAACTCACTGAGGTAGCGTGTGAAATTAAACCAAGAAGAATCAATTTTGAATTATAAAACACCAAAAAATGTATCCTTGAAGACAACATATGGCAGGGAAACCACAGAATCCATTCGAACAACTGAACAGAAATTCTTGATAATTTGTGGCAACAGCAAATACAACTACTTTTGGCAAGAGAAAAAAATTATGCTACTTTCCCGTCAAGATGTTTCATTTGAAAAAAGATTCCTAGACTTACGTCATTATGAACGTCACTTTGCAACTGCAGTAAATAAATAATGCAGAGACAACAAGATGTAGAAAAAGTGACTAAATTTAGGCAATTTGAAACAGGACCACAATTGAATAATGAAGCACGATGACGACGCATACGATTACAGCCATGTTTGGCAACTTTTTCGAACTACAAAATTGAAAACATAATGAGCATGAAGCACAAGAAATACTGACTCCCTGAAGATGGATACTTCAAAAGATTTTTTAAGTTAAATCAGTTTAACTATAGATTTACTTTTAAAAGTCTGCTGTTCTCAGAAATATCGCATTTTCACTACAATACAATGATATTTCACGATAAAATATAAAAAAACAAATGAAATCAAAAAGTACCTCAGGTAAATATTTCTGCGACCGATGACTGGGACTATGGGATCGGAGTGAAAAAATGGATGTGCGATTGGTCTGAAGTTGACTAGAACACAGAAGTTTCTAAAACATGCATCCAATTATTGATTAGTAATCGAAAGAAAAAAATTAGAAATTAAATTTTTAATACATGTGTCTTTATTTCGATTTTTTTTACGTATCATCAATATTATATAATTAACACTACTATTTTTTCATTATTAATTATTGGTTGCTCTGGAATGAGAGCATAAGCTAAAAGATAATATTATTAAAGAAACCTCGTCAAGTTTGAATTTTTTCTGAACCACGTGCTCACATTCCATACAAAGAGGATAGTTTTTATGTAGACGTTTTTTATAAACTTCAAATTCATCGTCGAAATTTAACTTAAACGACATGAAACTGATCCAAACGTATAGTGTCGTTACAAGTACAATGTGACTATTTTCAATTACCATAGAGAACGCTGCTCAAATGACAAATAAGCCAATCTTTTATCGCTTTTACAGAGAGAGTAAAATTGATAATTAAGCTTAAACAAAAATAGAACCTCATTTTCGGGCTCGAATTTATTAATTTGCGATTGGATACTTGCTTGCCGAATGTTGCACCGTTGACATAAACCATTCTTTGTCATTGATTCCTGAGTTTTACTCGCCTTAATAAATGTTATATTCAGATCGATTCATTTGGTATAAATGTAAAAAAGGATTGAAACCAATAAAAAGTACAGATTCTCATCTACTGTCAACTGCAAGGTAACCTTGCAAATGGTCACAGTAAAAAAAACCTTATTGTTCGGTTTCGGGTTTAGAAATTCATATTTTTGCTCAGGAATAAATCGATCATAATCACCATCCTCCTTGAATCCATTATACTGTTCACAACTCGGACAAACAAAAGCCTGATACTTTTGATAAGGAACGCGAACATTCTCATTACAAAACCAACAATTGACAGTTTTTTTCCAATACGGTCTGAAGTGGATTTCATCATCAACTGGTTCCAGATAAAAATTAGGAAAGCATAAAATCATTAATTTACCAACTCACCTAATCATGCGATAGACGAAGCGAAAAATAATAAATAAGGTAATACAGCTTACGATCCATAATAACATTATCTGAAAAGCTATTGAAAATTCACTACTCCGATGATTTTCGCAAAAAGACCTTCGTGATTCAAAACATAACATAACTTGATAAACTAGGAACATGACTGACATTTTCAACGAAAATAAAAAAGGCAAAACCAAGAAACTTCAGATAAAGGAATAAACCCAGACATAAATACTTTTTGAACTCCAAGAATAAAAAATTCATGTCAATTTTATCACAAAGACAGAAGTACATGATTTTTGTATGTACAAAAATACATTTCACCAAGCTAAATACAAAAGTAAGCTTTTTCCGAAATGATTAAATGACAGACAATCGTAATTCTATTACAAGAAAAAATACCAGGTGAAAAAATTTGAACCAAAAAATTACAATAGCAATAATTGAGCTGAAAAAACTTAGCACTGAATGAAGGTTGCCAATCCTACACTACAGTAAAATAAAATATTTCTCAGTAACTCTGAATCCCGAAAATAATCAAAGTTTAAAAAAATCAAAATACACGAAGGAATTGGATAAAACTTTTAGTTACTTCATGCAAAATTCTGATGTAAATGAGTAAAAAATGTGAAATCCCCTTAACAGTGAAAAAGCGAAACAGTTTTAGAAAGTCAAATATTCATGTACATGAAAGTCTAAATACTACTATTTATATGGAGCAGACTATTTCGAATTTCTCATGGGAACAGAGAATAACAAAAACGGAAATAATCAAAAACTCGAATTGTTATATGCAATCGAAAATGGACACAAATAAGCAAATGAGTTGGCAGTATTTACAAAAACACCTTTGCGTGTTTCATACGTCTTCAAAGAAAATTTCAATCTGCAATTTTGTCATTTTCATTCTTATCTCATACAAAATGCGGTATGAAATACTGAAATAGAGAGAATAGAAGATAGAAGAGAGCAATAACACAAAAGACGAGGCCTTAATTCAGACAGTGAGCTTCATTATGACACAAAATCCTTAATCAAGATCAATTAAAATACCAAAGCGTCAAGCAAGCACTGTTTTAGTTTTTATCGTGCTTCCAGTTGCTCGAAATGCTTTCGAGCATTTCTTATGTTCATCAGAGTAGCAGCAGATGCTGAAAGCGTAAACGAATAACAGCACGGAAAATAAATGAAAGTTAGCTCTGTTGTCGATATTTGCATAAACTAATTTTTTCGTAAGCAATTTGAAATCCCCCTCCCCTCAAAAACAAAAAAACAAAAAAGAAGGAAAAAAATCAAAAAAATCTCACTCGTTAGCTTACTAAATACAAATATTCCAGACATTTAATATTTCTGTCAATACACTTTTTATTCCAGAAATATACATACACTCACAGACAGTTGAGTCGGGCAGGACTACCATGATAAACGTATTGCAAGTAAAGCCATCAATAAAGGCTGCAAATTTACTATTCCGTACACACATGCATTCGAACTGAGAACCCAATTTACTGAAACAAAAACTAAGATAAAGCAGGCAAATTTAAAACTTCCTATGAAAAAATTTAGAAAGAAGACACCTACGTAATATTTAATATAAGATTCTTTCTCTATTAATATATAGAAATATTTAATGATTCAAGAAAGGCGAAATAGGCAAAGAACATAAGGGGGATGTAAAGGTACGCAACAAGATACTTTTAACAGTTTATCCCCGAGTATCTCCAATTTTTCAAAAATGTAAATACAATGCACAAATACTTGTAGCTTCAGAACTTTCAGGTATAAAAAAAATAAAATGATAATTAAGAATAAGATAATTGCGAACCTAATACCAGAAAGTAATTTAAAACTCTGAATGCAACCACGAAGAAGTGAAAAATATGATTAAAATTAAATTCCTAAAATCTCCAAACGAAAAACCCAGTTCCCCAAGAATTGCTATAAATGAAATAAGAGGAGTACCTGCATGAAAGTTTAAACTGCTTGATAATATTTGAAACTTTTTCAAACCGATGTACATCATCATGTTCAACGATTTGGGCATGCGCTATTACGAGAAAAGTCGCCTTCTCGAATAATAAAACCTATAAATATGAAAAATATCCATATTGAGAGCCAACTACGTTTGACAAATCATCTTCACAAGATTCTAGAGAATGCTGAATAGAAATTTCATTTCAAATTTTTATTTAGCATTGTTTTTAGCCAACAATATTTTCAAAAAATTACGAACTAACTTCGTCCGCGTCTAAAACAAGAGCAAACTGTTTCAGTCTAGCTTCCATGGATGAAACATTTGGCACTAAATGACAAACGATTGCCGACCAAGCCTAAATATATATAGCAATCACTTTTTTAATATTTTTTATACAAATTTCAAAAGTGATGCATATGGATAACGAAATTAAGGGTGAAAATTCACCTTATAAAGCGTTTCGTCCCATATTGATGATCTATAACACTGTCTGACAATATTATCACAGCCAAATTTACCAGCGACAAGCTTCGATCTGCACAATATATCCCGTTCTTTCTCAGCAAATACCTCACAATCAATAAATACGTGAAATATCACAATAATTTTGCATAAGAAATTCCATAAGAAAGGTAAGAATTTTGAAAAAGTAACGAACTAACGCTTGTATTTTGATTCCTTCTTATTAACAACTAAAAAATAATAGATACAGCATTATTTACCACATTTTTTGAGTTAACTATTTCATACTCAATAAAATTCAATACACTGTAATTTAAAATATGGATGTATCATAGCATAAGGAGATGACAGAAGCACGTGAGATACTGTAGGTATGCTGTAAAATTAAGTATAACTTTGAAACACCACAACCAACCTGATCTCTGTGCTCTTCAGAAACTAAATCCATCTTATGTACCAGACAAAATACTTTGGCATTTGACGAGTTCAACATTAATGATTCCAAACACGATTGGTAATATCGGTAATCTTTTTCTAATTCCCGACTTTCAACATCAAATACATATATTAATACCTGAACACAACAATTCAATATACTGGATACAAAAAATTACATGAATGTCTACGTGTCCGATAAATCATTTTATTTTAGAGAATAATTTTTGAAGTTGTCCCAAGTTCAAAAAATTCTACAACTATCAACCACTATTTATTAAAAATATAACAGTACAAACCTGGACATTTTTGAAAATTTGGTCTTTTTGAGAAGCCAAGTAGTTTTCCATGAAGGCTTCTTGGCCACCACAATCCCAAAGATGAAGCACTAGATTACCCAAAAACCTGTACTTCATAATATCTTACTACAGCAGGATACAAGAAATATGCTTCTACTTGGAAAAAAAATTTTCTTTGAACAGTATATGTATTCTTTTCATACACAAAAATCGCTTGTTTTGTCATAAAAAGAACTTTTTTAAATGCAAAAAGAACCTGACAAATGCCACGCGATCGACCTGAGATTCACATGATCCTAGATAATGAACATGATGTCCAATCTAAGACATTTCAAGTCTAATAATAAAAAAAGATCTCTTAAATGTAAGATATTTCACAACACAGTGCCCCGCCCAACAAACGTTACAAATAGAACTCTTCATAAACCTTTCAGTGCAATGGTTCAGTCAAGACAAAAAATGAACTAACCGCACATGAGCATGTTCTACTTCCATAGTTGGACCGAGACGATTAGTATCACGAGCAATATAATTAGCAAATATAATAGATCGCATGGAAGTCTTTCCAGACCCACTTTTCCCCATCAATAACACTTTCCGTTTCGACATAATTTTTTCAACCTTCAAACACAGCATGTATTATTCTAGGGCTCATAGTTATATTATTCCAGGAATTCGCAATAACAGTAATTTTCAAAATACGTATGAACAGAAGTTATTCCTTGCAATCATAAACTTCTTTCGAATTCTTTTAGTAAAACATGGATGGAACCATACTTAAGATTTAAGACCAACAAAAGCTGACTCTTCATGGTGCCCGAGAAAGGATAAAAAAACTTTTACCCTACAGACAAGATATTACATCTCTAAATACTTTATCGTTACTTATAAAAAGAACCCAGAAATATATACGACCCATAATGTTACTTTATTTCAAGTTTCATGCCAGAGGTGATCATCATTTATTGTTTTCACATTAAAAAGTACACACAGTAATATGCAATTGGCATTTGTTTGTGACAAACCTTTTCTAACAACTTTAAAACCCCTTCTTACGACAATGCAGCTTTTGAATATAAATAATAGCAATATCAGAACCATTATTCTGAAATACTAATTGGCACCGGGAAAGAGAAAAAATATAATCATGGATATTGTTATTACTGTAGAAAAAGGGAATTTAGAATTCATTTTATGAATTTCCAAATTGTCCATCTCCTTGCACCTCCCCATTTTCGAAATTGTATAGTTATGAAACATTTAAAGCAGGCAAAGTGATAAAAAAAAATACAAGAGTATAAACTACACTGAAGAAGAGTATAAAGTTTACAATATACGAAAGTGAAAATAGTAGCACCTTTCTCAACACAAAGGCAAGTGTTTTGTTTTCTGTTCGCGCACACTGAAAATCCATTCTGAAGATAATCACCTGCACAAACAAATTGGAAAAGCAGTACTCACACAAATATATATATATTCTGCATTGTATTTCTGCTATATATATAGCAAAAAAAAATATATATATATATATATACTTTTTCGTCCTCACAAATACAAACGGAAAATTAAAACAGGAGAGCTCTTCTTTAATCACCAATTAAGTACTGTAATTCAATATTCCGAACTTTTACGATCTGAAACACACCTGAAGTTAAGTTGCAAAGCAAAACAGATTTCGAGAACTTGCTACAATCTAATGAGAGCTAAAAACAATCACGAAATGTAAAGTTGTGAATAAATAAATTTTCTAATTTCCCGTTATTTAATTTATAATGGAAGAGGAGGAACTAACGTAAGACTTGATACATATTATTTGAGAAAAAATAACAAATTAACAAAGAAAATAGAATCTTTATTAACTGGAATAACAGAACTGATATTATATCATTATGGGCGAGTCAAAAGAATTTACATTTATGAGTTGAAGAATAACATCATTTAAAGATATTACAACTCATACCTTGTAACATTTTCTGCCATAATCACTGAAGCGATGCCACCAACAGCACCTCCTGTCGTTGCACTTGGAACAATCGTATCAGCAGCTTCATCCCACGCACTCTTTTCATCATGGTTTTCCATTGGAGGCCAATCATCTGATTTTATGGATGAGAAATCAGCCCAATTACCAAAATCCGCGGAAGCTGATGAAGAGGAAGTTTCAGGCCAAATATCATCTGAAATTAAATGATTTTGCACGCTACATCGAACCTGATCAGTGTAACTGCAAAAAAAATACTAACCTATAATGCACTTTGATATTTTTTTTTCTTCTTTGGTAGTAATTTCCTTTGGTGCTCTTTTTTCATATGTCCCTACAGCACCTCTGAAGGCAAATTTCTTAAAAGTCGAACCTGGAGCTGCTTCATTCCACAATAAAGAAAAATTTCCTGATATTGGGTCATCATCCTTGAGATCCAGTGTTTTCTCCATTCCCTATATTGTTATATAAAAAATTTTATTAAATGAGACTACAGAAAAAAAATTATCCTAATTTCGTAGTATTAAACATTAAAATACCTTGGGATTGCTCACACTAGGCCATCCGTCATCAACGTCTTTGTTTGTAATACTGTTGTCGATCCTCAATGTACACATAGCATCGAAAGCGTTTTCATTCCCCTAGAAGATAATAAAAATTACGCAGTCTGTATTGAAATGATTGACAAAACATTGGATGTAGAACTTACAATGCTAGTAAAATCCTTTACAATAGTGCAGTCCGGAGTGATATCAGGAATCTCATAACTGAAAACGTTTTAATAATAAATTTTAAAATGAAATTCAAGAAGCTTCCAGAACTTTTAAGAGAATTTGAAAAGCTTGAATTGTATGAAATGCATGATAACTGATGTAATGTATCAAATATTCATAACTAACGGAACCTACTAGAATATATCATTTAATAAGATAATTTTTACAAAACTACATACGCAAAAATTGAACTGAGTAAAGTTATAAAAATAAACATACTCTGTATCATGAGAAAAACATGGAAATGGGATAGGAATGTCTTCTGGAGGCGTTTGCAGTAAAGCACACTGCCTATACTGATCTAGTATCTAAAAAAGTAACATTTATTGCATGGAATATGTCACTTTTTTCATCGTCAATGTGAAATGCAAAAAACTGTGCGACAGCAAATTAAAAATCAATCAAAGTTGCTGTATGAACTAACATGTACGAAAAGTAAAGCAGCCAACAAAATATGGAAGTATACCTGTGCAGTTTCACCCAATAACTCTGGAAAATCGCATGCATCAATTCTTGCCTTATCAACAACATCACTAGCTGGTGGAGGAGTAACTCCTGTGTCATCAGCTCGATTTTTTTCTTCATAATTTTTGACTTCTTTCAAAAGGGCTTCCCAACGATTTGTTTGGCCAGTTCCTGCAAACATTTCAAAAAGCGAACATACTGGTCAGAACAATAATATTAAAAAAATGTCTAATCAAAGTTTACCTTGAAGGAGTTGAGTAATTAATTCGGCATTAACTGAAGATTCCGAAGCAGAACGAATTAATGATGCTAAATTCATATAAAAACTGTGAAGCGTTCTTCTCGAATACCCATGAAGAAAGTCTGCTTGTGATGTTTCACAGCCTGCCAATGTATGTTTTAAAATATCTACATCCTAAAAAATGTAGCCAAACTGAATACCTAATTTTAATTATAAAAATCTTAATCTGCATATTAATTATATTTCGAGGTAATATATTGAAATATCAGTGTTTCTCGACACTATTCTCTAATAAACAATCCGACTACCAAAAATGCTTTGTGTACTAGTAGTGAACAATAAACTAAAATACAGGGGACTTACAATACCATAACCTGATACCCCGAAGTGATATTGCTTTCATGATTATGATTATGATAAACGAGTTAAGAGTCCCTGTCACTAACTTTAATCAGATATTTTATGAGCGGTGATGAGGGTGACGAATGCGTAAAAAGAATGTACGCGACAGCCCGATGTAAAAGATTTTGAAATACTGTAAGTTGTGGGCGAGTGTTTACGTAAGTGAGAAAGAGTTTGAATGGATTCATTGAAAGCGATGAAAATGCTGCCAACAGAGTCTGGTGTGTTGGCAAATGATTTGTGTCTAATACTAGCACCAACAGTCGCATAAGTGGACACCATGCATCGCTGCATAATCTTAAATCACCATCTCCTACCTATAAACAAACATAAGTTATCGAAAACAAAATAATTATGATATAACATTCCATTTGGAGCATAAAGTAGTGCCTCTATGGTTAGTACAAATCTAGAATACTAAAAAACGCAAGAGACGAAAAATTATTTTTACAGTGTTTGAAAAATTTGGAATGAAGAAAAGAGAACGACCAACTTCAACATGAATATGGTTAATATTTGGTTTCTGTTAGCATTCAAAGAAAGAAAAAAAAAGAACTTAGAAGAAAGAATGTGCCTAAAACCTTTGCTGATCAAATAATTTATAATAATTAATGAGAATTGAGCAACATCATACCTTAACAGAATCCAGTATTGCGTTGACAATACGATCACCAAAAGCAGCAACTACTGTTTCGACAATTCGACCAGCATCAGGTTGCCATACTGTCGTGCAACTTACTTCATTTCCCGTGATTGGTACTACTCCACACCACTGGGCCTGAATACCACGATCTTCCATGCCTAACTGACGACTGGGGCTAGAAATGTATATAAACACATTATAGAAGAAATGTAATCACAGAAGTTCTCACCAAAAAAAGTATATACGTTAACTTATAAAAAATGTTCAATTTGCCTATAAACAAGAAGTAAAGCCATTCACGGATTTTTTCTTGCAAGTTAATATATTACTCACTTAATGATCATAACTTTTTTGCTACGTCAAAATTTCCATGCATTGAAAAAACAAACCAATTTGGAACAAAATTAGTTTCCAGAAGAACAATCAAAATAGCAGCACAATTTACAATAACAGAATCACGACGTTGATCAATACTGTCAGGCAACATACGACTCATTAAATGACGTACATTCCGCTCAGATTGTAAGCTTTCTAACAAAAAATCACTGCGTTTGCATTCTGCAGTGTACTGCGCATCACGCAGCACACGCACGAGTTCGCTCCACAGATGGCCAACATTGTCATGAACCTTAAACAACAAATATGAAATGTATTAACGTTTCAAAAGAGAGATAAATGTTATTTTCACTATCTTCACAACAACAAGGTAAGCTGAAATGTTGAATTTCATGACCAAATATGAATAAATCGCTAACTTCATTATTTGAAATTGAAAAGCATAATCTTCTGACAGGCTTTATAAATGAAAATGATAACTACAAGAATATATTCACTACTGCTGAACACTTAAAAATCAATACAATATAAGAACTTACTACTGGTGGTTGTTCTGGAACGAGAAGATCACAAAGATTCTCTACCAGTCGACTTTCTGCTAACCACTAAAAACCCATTAATATAAGTCATTAATTTTCAGAAAATACGATACCTATTAAGTAGACAGTCTTACGAAACAAAAAATAGAGAAATATATAGATAAGCAACGAGTACCTGCTTTATATGATCTAGCTGATCTAATTCTGATGGAGAAGTCGCAATGCGGTACAGCAGTTCCGCCACTGCTGAATATTTCATGCTCTTCATACAATATAGCAAAAATTGACTTTCTTTCATGCGATTAAATAGCTGAAGTTTTTTAAAATAATTTCACTGACACCAGTGAACATAAATGATTGAAAAATAGTTTTAACTTTTGACTTAAATGTACAAATGTGGACCAAAAAATTACATTTTGTCTATGTCTTGAAAAATTTTTTCAAAGCACCATGTTTTCTTCGAAAAGGAAGTAGTGCCTCATGATTTTTAAGTGGAAAGAAAACAATTGCTTGTAAAGAAACTTGATTGAAACCTGATCAGTATATTTGCTGACAATTTTCATATAAAAGCCAGCAAGTACATGATTTAGTTTTTTAGTATTCAGAAAATCAAAAAGCAAACAACAAGCTTCTTCATTCCTGACAACAGCTTTACTCAGTTCTTCATTATTCACAGATAGGATTTCAGCACAAAGATGAGATTTCCTGCAAACATAATAACTGGGTATATAACTCAACATCTTTCATTTTCAAAAACTGAATGTGAACTTCAGCAACTATATTTTTAACGAAAAATCGTAGAAGAACAGGAAGAGAAGGAATTTAAAAATACTTGTACTGCTCTTTCAAGGGTAGTGATCCGTCGATTTCTGGCTCCAAAGCACCTTTGACTAATTGCACCACAACTTCCTGTCTTGTCAAACTGAAATAAGTGATTAAAATAACTTTAGAAGATATTTCACTAATAATTAGTGCTACTAATTTCAACAATCTATATTAAACAAGAAAAATTTTAACGGCAAACAATGTTCAGCAAACTTTGAATGATGAAGAGAAATATGAAAAAACATGAATGATTACTTGCATTGATATTTATTATCTTATTTCTGCATTTAGCACTGATAAGCTATTCATATATTATTCCCATCCCATGTATGTACTATACAGATCTCATAAAACGATAAAACAAAATTTAAAGTAAAATGAGTTATAGAACTTCACAGAACATATGTACCAGCAGTCAAATAAGAAAAATATTTATACATCATTAGAGAATTTAAAAAAAAAAAAGTAAAACTAAGTTAAACGAGGAAGCAGAGTAAAAATTTGATTAAATAAAGCGTACAATTTCATAAGTTGTGGATTCGAAATACGGATTTCCTGTATTACATACTCATCATTTAATACATCTGCAAGTGTTGCTGTATCATTCTTGAGTAACTCATTCAAAGCAGTCGCAGGAGATGCCAAATCACTTGACCAGAACATGATCCTTAAGAAACTTAAAAATTACTACAGATGAAATGATGTACCAACCGATTACGAAGTAGACAACACTTATAAGATTTCAATTTCGCTCTTCACTCTAGCTAGTATAAAGGCATAACATCAATCACGTGATTACGTAAGTTTGCATCTTTTCGTCCAATTTACTCATGTTTGTTGTAATGCAAGCTTATTTAACTCAGTTTACGCGACTCATGTTAACCTCATCATAATTCTTCTGCTCTGTCGTGCTTACATCATACGCAAGTTTTTCATTCTCAACAACTAATTCCGAGTAATGCGCGCATTAAGGTCAATTTTTTCCTCAGCAATTATTTTTGAATACTTTCAAAATTCTAGATCTTTTTCCACTACACAAAATCTTCAATTCCACTAATAAATTGAATTAAAAGTTCAATTGCATGATCACGAGAAAAATACCACTCTAACAGTATGAAAGCATTGCATGAAAGGATAAAATAATAACGCATCAAACTTGAATCATCATATCTTCATACTTATTAAATAACTTCGAAAGTTTTAAGGTTACTTGGATTTTAATCATAATTCATCATGTTGTAACTTTATTGGAACAACTACTTGCTTAGTGTATATAAAACGTGAAACTTTTTGTACTGTTCAACAGTACCATTCTCTATTATTCTATTCTGTATTGCTTTGGTGGTCAAAATTTGTACGAGATGACATAATTTTCATAAATATGAAAATTGTTACTTGAATTTTAATTATAATTCATCATGCTGTAACTTTGTTGGAACAACTACTTGCTGCAAATTGTGTCATCTCGTACAAATTTTCCTAATTAGAATTTGAAATATGCTATATATAATCCTTACAACAACAATCAAAATAAGTCAGAAGAATTTCTTAATGGAAAAAGAAGTGAAAAATCAAAGAAAAGATGTACTATTAATAGAGTGAACTGTTAACACTTTATCCTTGTCATCATATACTAACGCTATCGAGAACCTTCTAAGACAGCCATATAATTCAAACCATTCCGCGGCAAAACTATCCGTTTCATACAGCATTGCATGCAACACTTATGTAAACATTTATAGTTTGATTTAAGGTTAAAAAAAGTGTAAAAAAATCTGATCCCAGACTAGGCTACCCTTTGTCGATGCCTTTTAAATTTTCACCGTTTTCATATGTGTTTTGAATAACTTTATTTCTCTTTCTAGCCACTTATTTTTATTTGTACAACTTTATTAATTCACTGGAGTATGCTTTTTCTTGATTTTATTTAGAATTCTTGCTATTCTTTACCTGTTTCTGCTTCTCGTTAGACTTGTGATTCATCAAAGTATAAAGCAATCAAAGTACAATGTATGTTTCGTCTTGTAGATATTTTTGTTTATTCAAATGAAATAAAAATGATCATTTGCATCCTCAACTGTAATTTCAGAAATAAGAATAGAGATTCTTTCCACAGAAATTAATAATTATTACCAAGTATTCTAGTGATGCAAACATTTTCATTTCAGTTGCTTTTTGATCTGCAATCAGTTTATGATATTGTGCTTGAAACTAGATCTGGTAATATGTATTGACATGTTTTGAATAGTCACTTTCCCAGACTTTTTCATTTTGTTATCAGCAATGGAATCGGACGAAGAATTTGATGAAATTTATGATGAAATCGATCGTTATCATTTGTCGCTAGATATTGCTGACCAAGCTAATAGTTCTACTGTTTCTCGAAGACCAGAAGAAGTATTGAATGTTGAGGGTGATTCTCACACTGAAGAAAGTGACGATGATAAATCCAGCAGCACTTTTTCAGATTCTGGTTCCGAGGAAGTCATTTCAAATGATTTTGAAAAGTGTAAGTATTTCTGATCCATTAGCTTTTTTCAGTTTGGAAAGCAAGGGGAGGAAATTGAGATGTTTTCAATATCAAAGTGAAAAGTAAAAGATGTATGTAGTAGAAGTAGACGTTTTTTCTTTTGGTTCAGTTAAATTTTTCTGAAAATTTTCAAGGAGAATATTTTAGTATTTTTTTTTTCAGAAACATGTTCATTTTCAGTGATTGCACAATATATTTCAGTATTACCTTCGGCGGATAAGTGGGGCAATAGCCGAAAAGGCTTTTATCATACTTCATATGTTGATGAAGATTGGGGTGGAATGAATGAAGCGGAAGTAGAATTAGCTGAATTAGAAGAAGAAGATGCCGTTACTAGACAGAAAAAGTTGGATGCTGCTTTGAATCACATTCCTATGCAATTTCAGGTAACCAACATAGGATTCATTTTTACTCCAAAATACTAATTTCTAGGAACTATTTATTCAGTCATTTTTCAGCAAGAATTGCAAGAAGTAGATGCTGATTCTAACGAAGTTCCCAGTGTTGGAAGTATGACTTCGCAGGAAAAACTTGAATTCTTTCTGAAATTAAATTCTGATTTAAAGGAATTATATGATGAATATCATGCTAAAGTAAGAATTTCTAAATGTCGGAAATCTGTTAAATAGTGATTCAATATAGAACAGAATTTAATGTAGATTGTGAGTGCGTAGTAGTCTTATGCTTCAAGTTTTGAAGTACTCTTTAATTCAAATAAAAAACGGAAGCTTTTTAGCATTTTTGAAAGTTACTTTTGCAGCTTTATGCGTGGGATTAAAGTTAGTATTGTGTTTTGAAAGGAACCATTTTTCAGAGGATTTATTTCTTAGCTAATGTGATTCCTTTGCTCGATTTGGTTACTTTGATCAGAAACAAAAGTCCGGGGATAGTACTGGAAAAGCAGATAGCATTTGTGGTGAACATATTTTCTAGGTAATGTTTTAGTGATTTTTCGGTTCATTTGTGATTGGACTGCAGTCGGTTGCGTTGATTAAAAGCACGGTCTGAAAAACATTTTTTTTCAGGTATTTAATGAATTTGTTGTTCGCTATTCGTATAAAAGTTGTTGGTTATTCAAAGCATGAGGTTCCACAATTTATCGATCATCCTATTTTACAGGCTATCCCAACTATTCGAAATGTAACTCGTTTCCAAATTTCAGTAATATACATTAGTTTGTTAGTAGTCGGTCAAGAATTCACCGTTATGCGTTCTTGATTTTTCTTATTTGAATAATCGCATTTGCGATACATGTTTTTTTTTCAGAAAGTACTCACTGCTGAGCATTATTTGGAAAAAAATGGGGGCTTCCAAATATTACGGTCGTATTTGGAATCCATCAGTTCGGAGACTGTATCCAATTCATTTCGAACTGTAAAACTCTTGAAAAAATTAAAGTTTCCCTCTATTAAAGAGCGGATAAGAAATCCTTCAAAGAAAAAGCATGAAAAGGAAGGCGAAGTTGTCAGTGGTAGAGATGATGTGCTGCAAGAAGTGAAGGATAAAAAGCGCGCAATAACTAGTCAGGTTAGTCTTCTTAAATTTTTTAATAGCAGTTTTTGACTAAATTTTTCAATAAAACGAGTTGTCAAACATGTGTCTTCCTTGTTTTTCAAGTTTTCATTTCCTTCAGATTGAAAAGAATAGGGGTTTACAAAACAAACGAAAAAAAGGAACACAGCATTCACGAGTGAAAAAGAGAAAGCAGTTCCAGAAGGCTCTGGTTAAGAAACATTCGCAAAAGGCTGATGTTCGCAGAGAGCTTGCACCTTATGGAGGTGAGTACCGAGGAATTAGGGCTTCGGTCGTGAAAAGTGTGAAGCTGAAAGCGTAGTAAAGGAAATGTAGTTCGCAATGCTAAAAGAAAGTATACTTGCAAGCTTGCGATTGCAGTCTACACAACAGTGGCCTTTCACATTCTCGTGAGCAAACATCACGAAAACGAATACATGGTGTAGTTTGTCGTTTTGAACCGTGTTTACTCTCTGTTGTATTCTTCATACAAAGTGCGGCTAATACTCGAAAGTAGTTGTGTTTTTATTTGTATATGATTTTTGACGTTTACCTAGAATTCAGAAAATGAGAGGGATATACTTGCGGTAAACAGATGTTAAAGTTTTTTTATAATCACTTCCTTACTCTTTGATGAGTTAAACAATTAATAAAAATAAGCACCAAACATTTTTATGAAATAAGCACACATTTACAAGAAAAACAATCTAGATAGCACGAAAATCAGTAATGATGGATGACCTGATGACATTCCATATTGCTGAATAACTTCCAGCGAAATCAAGTATTCTGTAATGGAAATTCCTCATCTTGAAAAATACTAGAAAGTGGCCCATCATTACTGAAACATTGATAAGCACATAGACTTACATGGAATCAAGGCCTAAGTATGTGCGTGAATGAACATTCAGGCCAAAACAAGTCCTGAAATGGCATAAGGCACCACAAAATAGTGTTAATATGAGCATAAAATCCGAATTTCTTGAGGAGTGGCGAGCATTTTTAAGCACATCAATAATGTGGGTTCATAATATCTCACTAAAAAATGATCGTAAAACCCTGTCCTAGGATTATGGATGTCATTAGCTACCACGTCAGATCTGGAAGCCAGGACTCAACTACGTCTTTGTAAAAAAAGTTCCCAGAGTTAACATTTTACATGGTCCTGAAATACAGCTCCGTCTCCTGAACCCCGTTATGCGGCTCATTGAAAGTCGGTGTTCCCGAATTTCACATCAACCTCCTAAAATACGTCCTCGACTACGAAAGCTTTAATGAGCTTATCAAAGAGTATTTCGTTAAATTCTTTTGTCGGCTAAACAACTAAGCACACAAGTTTCAGAAGGAAGTCCTACAAGAATTAAACAGAAATATTCGCAGAATAATATCTATTACTGTTTAGGAGAAATCTATTCTAGCACTTTCGTTAAACCTCATGAATGATTCTGGAAAAAGTAGAATGAGATAATAAAAACCATCTAACTTCAGACTAAAACATGAAATGAATCTCTTCATTTGGAGAGCTTTGATATCACGCGTATTAGTGCTCCGTTTTCTTCTTTTAATTTTTGATTGTCCGCGCGTAGGTGCTCCAACTGCTGAAAATCAAATACTTTAACACGTCTTGGATAAGTGAAGAAACAACAATGCCAAAGTCAAACTTTTTTAAACAAAGGGGTTGGAAGTATAAGTGAACAAGTATTCGCAAAACAGTGAAATGTTAAAATTACAGTGACACTAGTTGACAATGTGATGTGACTGATATTTTCCTAATACTTCTGTTTCCTGCAACCTCTTACACTTACTAGTTTAAATGCCTATTCTCTACAGGAAGTGCCCAACTGCAATTAAGAAATAACCTGTGATGAATCAAAACTAAAGTAACCTACTGAGAGATCCAAACTCTCGAGTTAAGTAAAACAGCTGGAATAAACAGAAGTAGACTACTTTTTCACTAGCTGCCCAAATTTCTTATTTCACGAATAGCAGTTAAGTTCACCGCATTTCCAAAAAACACGTACGAATGATTAATGAAAACTAAATGCGATGTAACGAAACAGCTTATTGTTGAATATTTCGAAAGAGAAAAAAAAAGAAAAATTATATCTCTGTTTCATGACACATGGTATGAAGTTTGAAGAAGTACAAACAGTGAACGCATATTTTTGGATTACACCCGTTAATCGAGACGAAAAAATAATATAAGATACAAAAATTGGAAATGTAACTACTTCAAGAGTTAAGAGAAACCTTTTTTAATACTTCAGCAACTATGGGATAATTTGTCATATTTCTACTACCAAGCGGGTACATTGTAAAGAAACTACTGTTAGAAAAAAAAGAGACCAAGTTTCACAAAAAATGTTATAGTACGAAATTAATCAAAGGAAATCTCACCCACCGGATACTAAATTTCTAATAGTGTTGCATTGTAATCAATAATTTGCTAGAAACTAAAGGTTAAAAAATAAAAACGAATGATAAGAAATGAAAGCAACAGTACTGTTAGCTAAGCGAACAAAGCAAGCTAACAGTACCGAGGCCAAGTTGGTGTACTTTGCTGCCGACTCATTTTAGATAACACACGAATCAATGCTTCGTTTTCCAATCGTAGCGAAGCGTTGGTTTTCTCCAATTTTTTCAGTTCCTAAGTTAACAAAAAAAACAAACTTGCTTCGTAATATTAAATGAAAGTTTTATGAAAATAACACGTGACGCCTATTTTCATAAGACCTGCGTATAAATTCAAATTAATTTTTTATTAAGACAATTCAAATAATGAATTAACACACAAATTAGGCAGGATCTCATTTTCCAGAACAGCATTATCGCTGAGTATTAACTCTTAGAATATAAAAAAATAGTCTTTGAACAGGCAAACTGGTACAAATTAAATAAAAGAAGAGCACAGCTCTTCTTCGCAACCAAATAATGAAAACTGCATAAATCCTGCCGACTGAGAGCAAGGATAACTTAGACAAGAAAGAACAAAATAAACGTTTTTCTATGCATCACAACTGAGGACTTTTACTGCTTTCATGATGTAATGAAATATTAAAACTAAAATTTACTTCGATTTCATATTGCATCTCGGCAATTCGCTGTTCATAACTGCGGCGTTCGCGACTGTCTATTGAAGAAGGTAATGACTTGCTAAGCGACGATGATGACGTGAGACGTCCTTCTAAGCCACGATTCAAATATGAAGTTTTGCTCGCTGAATTTGATTTCTGTAACATCAAATATTTTTACAGCAGCATGTTATAATCAACCATAACTTCACTATGTTATAATCAACCATAACTTTTATGTACTGAAAACAGTAAAAAAAGCATCATATAATTTTAGGCACAACAAATATCGTACAATGTAGTGTTTAACGAACTATTTTTTTACAATACGCAAGCACATTAAAGAAAATAATCTGTCAACTAATTTCACTTACAAGTAAAGAAAATAATCTGTCAACTAATTTCACTTACAAGTAAAAAATAAGACGTGGAAACGTGGATAATTTGTGAAAACAAAAAGCAACAAGGAAATTATTCTGTATAACCAAGATCAATTTTTCATTTTTTCTCACTCAAAGATCAAAGCGCAATCTTCACCCTTATTGTCAAGTATAGAAGAACAGTACAGAATATAAGACGCAGCTGATCAACAGTTCACTTTACAGATCACAAACATTTTTTTCCACGTTGCTCAATCAATCTCCTAAAAAATATTTTTTGCATCATCTATAATAGCCAACACAAAATATTAACCTCTATTGACAATTCTTCTATACGTCGCCGCAATTTTTCAGTTTCCTGTTTTTCTTTCTCATATAATGCTTTATAATCCACAATTTCCTGACACTTTGTTCGGTTATTTTGAATTTGCAATGGTACTGTTGTGGATTTAGTCCCACCAATATGCACTGAATTTGTCTGAAATGAAACAAAAGATAACTGTAGATTCACAATAATGAGAGAAACAAAGGCGATCAATAAAATACCTTCAACAAAAGACAACATACAGTAAAAATCATCTTCATGCTGCATGACACGATGTAAGCTTAGAATACCTGTGTAGGAAAAAAATAAAGATGCTAAAAAAAATTCAGGTCCTAAACATAATGAAAACTAATCCTAAAATTCAGCATACATAAATCATTTCTATGTACTCATAAAAAAGATAGCTATGCATCACATACTTGAGCAAATGGTCTTAATTTATTGGTTAATGTAGCTTGAGTAGAAGCAATGGATGTGAGGTCACTATATCGAACGTTATAAGAAGTTGTAGCAGTGATCAACTCAGAGAGATCCGCACTAGGCAACGAGGGTGTAGTTACACAGGCTGACAGTCTATCGCCACCACTTGATTGTACTGAATCATCTGAAGTCTCATCAGCCTGAAGACCATCTATTCGTATTGGACCTGTAACTCGGCGTGTCGTCCTTGGTACCTGAAATTATATATTACCCTCACAATTTTAAGTTTTATTCCACGATTAAGAAATTCATAAATCCTAAATCACTCATTTAAAATAAATAATCTCTTGCTTGTGATCGTCGTCGAACAGCGGGAAGTGTCTGCAGAGAACAGTAAGAGTTAGTTTCCAAATCTTTTCGCCCTTCTACAACTTTCTTTTCTACTTCATTTGATGTAGATGACTCCTTAAAGCACATTTCATGCAATCTTTATTATATTTATGAAGCAAAAAGCCTCCAAATAATAAAGTTAATCCAATTTTCCAATTTTAAAACAGCATCTGACTTTTGTATTATTAGCTCAAAAACCAATCTTTTGACTACCCAAAAAAAATAGCGCCGATAATTTCTGACTACAAGGTCAAATTTATTCAGAACGCAACAAAGTATTACTAAAGAAGGTGAAGTGGAAGAGTTTTTCTCGTGAACCTGCGTTTCATTTTCTTTATCTTTATCTTTCTCTTTGTCATTACGACGGACAGCCAACGTCGTTGCAACGCGCAACTGCTCTCGTGTTACTCCTTGAGTCGACCTGAAAATCCTTAACCATATGATTCAAAAATTCAAAATGTCAAATGAAATACAGCGTAAATTTTAATATTCAAGATTTTAATTTCACTGTCTTTTAAAGTACCAAATTATTAATCATTTTTTTTGATCTTGTTCTCAGAAGAAACGCCGTGTTTACTATTTTATTGTAACTCTACTTATTTAATATGCCAATATCTGAAAACCGACCTCCGCGAATCTCTCTGTCGTTTAGCTTTACTTCTTCGCTCAGCTTCACTTTCATTTGGTAAATTTGGTTCCATCGGAGGAGTTGCAAGCGTTCCCCTTTAGAATATGCAATCAATTATATATGTCAATTAAAAAACATAGTATTTTATACTCATCAATCATTTGCAATATAAAAATTAAATCTGACTAAAAGTTGAAAAAGTCCAAAATAGTATCCACAGTTAAGCTCATACTGTTTCAAGAAATAAAGTTGCTGACAATACCATAAATATTATTATTACTATAAGTTATGTTTCTTTTGAATAATTAAATGCACAGAAAGAGGTGAAAAGATATGAAAATGAAGAAGAAAAATCAACCACATATAAATCAAAAGTTTGAATACTTTGCATGAAAGCTGAGCTATTCTCGAAAAGACGCATACACTGCACACATTTCAATTAGTTGATGTATGCTTATTTTATTCTTCAAGAACCAGAATGAAAATACCTAGTATCTAAGAATGTTCGAATCAAATGCTCTATCCAAAGTTAGATATTCAAATCAATCACAGCTTTGAAAGAAATGAGCAAATAATTCTAATGGCAACATCAATAAAAGCACTCTCTCGACCAATTAATTAATGCCTCAATCAAATCAGATATCATAAAACTAAAAGATTTAACAAATACAACTTTTTGCAAAGCTATCAAAGGGTTAGTTCCGGAAAAAAGGCATTTTAGAATTACTTAAGCAGTAAAGCACACTTTCCTATGTCAAATATCAAAATTATTAACAGTAATGAAAAGACTGAACTAAGCAAAAAAAAGATGATGAAACACCTTGACAACGACGGTACAGTCGCTTGAACAGTACAAACATTCTTAACTGCTTGACTTTTATTGCCTGTAGCAGCTTGTCGCACAGCAGCTTGGAAATGCGCAAAGGCAGGATGCAGCGGACCTTTGATTACCGAACTACGATATAAAGACATCCATGGAACAGAAGTTGCTGCAGGTTGATGAATGCTGGCACTAAATCACTATTTCTTTGTAAAATGAACGTATCACACCAAATAAAAAATTTTCGAGTTGAAAATGAGAAGCGAAAGACTGTGCTTTTAGTGTGCGACTCCTTCAAGCAAATCTATTCGTGGAAATGAAAGGCAGAAGATAGATCACAATATTACTATTATCATTAGTAGTAGTATAGTAGTAGTGAGTAATTATCATTAGTATCAATATGACTATGACTTTTACTTATCATGACTTATACTTTGAAAAAGCGGACGATTGTTATAAATTATATGAGTAATTTTAAAGCATAATAAGACTGAACTAGAACCGTACTGATTTGTTCAATGATGGAAAGCAAGAAATACATTCGATTTTGATTATAATTTGGTCAAATTCAAGGTAGCTTCAAATGGAAAACAATTATATTACTCATGTCAATCTGAAAGCAGTAAACAAAAAGTGAATTAAATGTGATTAGAACTTGAATCCGCTTATATCATTTAGTCTGTGCATGCAAAATGTAAAAGCTACGAAGCAATGATGTTATAATAATACATAGTAATTGATATCCGGACGCTTCGACCGAATATTAATTTTGTGTATTATTAAAATTTCAAACATGAATGCGAGTAAACCATGTAAATTACTGTAAGCATGAAGTACATAACACAAAGAAAAACTTTCGGCAAAATCTTAAAAAGACTAAAAACAGATGGATGTAATGGAATTTGGCTGGCCCTTTAAGCAATAAAAATAAGAAATAAAAGAAAATCTGCAAATGAAACCAACCAAACTTCAAAATGAGCATAATGATTTAATCTATCTAATAAACATGCAAAACTGCTTGCTACAATACTCTGAAAAAATGAATAGAGTCCAAATTTTATTCACGACTTACGTTTTATTCGATTGAGCCGACGGCTCCAAAGACACTGTTGTTTTTGTAGTAGTAAATTCCTTATCTGGAATGTGATTTTTTATCCGAAGATGATTTTGTGCCAATGAAGTCGAAGAATTAGACTCAGTGCTTGGGGATCGCGATACAGAACTACTCTGAAACATATCTTCAGCTCTCCTAATATTCACAAAATATTGGGATCATAAGATAGAAATTGAAACTGCTTTTTTTCATCATATGTTTTTGCAAGAAATCAGTAATTCGAAAGCAAATAACAAAACATATGCTTTCAATACTTCAAGTACGACTCTTCCCCAAGATATCAAAGTGCTGCCGAAACCAAAGTTAAGTTGCAATATAAGACGAACAAGTTAAGCAGAGAACCAAAATTATATTCTGGATTTGAGAAATCATTTCGTTCTTACTATGAAAAACTACATAAAAAGAGCATGAATAAAAGTTAACTTGACTGCAAAGCTACGTGTACAATCATTTTTTAACCTAATGATAATAACTTGTTAACTGGAGTACGCTTCAGCGACTTAATAGGCTTCGATATCAAAAGAATTTGTACAGGTTAAACTATAATATAGAAAGCAGTTCATGTTTCCATTTTTACAAACTTGCAGTGCATTAAACAAACAGTATAGATATTTGATAATTAAAGAATCAAAATGGCATGACTAGGTCAAATCAGTAAATTCGGAAGTAAAACAAAATAATTAGATGCGGTACTACGCTAAATTGATAGAGATGATATGTAAACTAACAATAGTTGTCGATGACGAACAGGAAGTTGGATTACGTTGTCCTTCTGGCGAAGACTTCAATTCATTTGCTAATGTCAAAGATGGAAGGGGTGGAACGGATGTGGTACGAGAAAGCTTGTCATCGGGCGGTAAGTTCTTCGTTTTTCCCTGCTCAAACTGTGGAAGTGAAACTGACTGAGATGCCGATGGCAAATTTCTATTTGTATTGCTGTTTTTGGATTCAAACGTCGATGCAGTCTTTTCTTCGCTACTCGTTCTAGAGGTTGAAAAAATTATAAACTTAAGAAACAATGTAAGACTTCGTTATAAAAGAACTTTGAAAATGCCACTTTCAATAACTATTCGTTATTTTATGAACATGAAAAGTTTTCAAAATTCCTGCAACTGGGGATCTGAGTAAGCAGAATAGAGAACGAAGAAAAAAATGATTTTCGACAAATTGCTAGAATAAATTTATTTTGCAACTTAATATTTAAATAGTATGATTGGAAAGCAAAAGATTGTTAGAGCCTAGAATGAAGTACCTTTCATTAAAAGATACCTTTCTTCTTCAGTGGAAGACTCAGAGTTATCATGCAGCTGCTGCTTCGAAGGAAATGGTAATCTAACTTCTACTGATGGCGAAGGAGACTTATCTTCAATGACAAACGAATAATGACCCTCTCTAAGTTCTTTATTTTCGTCTTGCTCATCTAATTTAGTCTTTTTAGTTTTTTCTTCTGTAGACATTCTTAGTACAGATGTAGTTGAACTCGATCTAAAGGTGCATATTAAATGAGGAACAAATGTACAGTGAGACAGTGTAAAAAATAATGTAATATTTTCACTCGGTTAAAAGACCTATGACAGTTAATGCAATAATTTGATACGATATTATGGCTGCGTAAAATTTGCGAATTCCAAAATACGGCGGATAGATACATTAAAAGATGCATCTCGGTCAATGAAAAAATGATAAAAACATGCAGAACTACTGTGAAAAAAACTTGTTAATGACGAAACTATTTCATGTAAAACTGCACCTTTTCAATGGTATATTAGCATGTATCAATACATTGACAGAATTATTGGATGTCAATCTAGACCGTTCTTGTTCCTGCATTCCTTCTAAATATTCAATAATTTTTTTATCAGCAACATTCAATACTGTCTCACCCTGAAAAAGCAAAACATTTAATCCAATAACCAGCTGATCAAGAAATCATTTCTACTACGTAGACATCTATTTCTTTTGCAGTCTGTAATGACAATAAGGTTTTAGTCGCAATTTTAACAGCAAATTCACATATTTCAGAAAATACTAGCGAACCAAGACCTGGATTCAAGAGAAAAACTAAATTTGCAAATACACCAACATTATTGGTGAGTTCAGAAAACGAAGCACCATTCTGAATCAGAATAGCAGCAGCTTCATGTTCGGCCCAGTGAGCAGCAGCATGAAGCGGAGTCCAACCATCACGATCACGACAATTTACATTAGCACCAGCTTTTAGTAATAACTGCATAACATCATGGTATCTAAAAAATATATATTTCTATTTCCCAGCATATTTTTGTAAAAACGGAGAAACCGACGAAATTATGGACAAAAAAAAAGCAAATCATTATTTCTAATGAAGAAAAAGTAGATTTTAATAAAAATGAACTTTAACCTAGATAAACTAAGGTAGTAAATTCTAAAACAAAGCAAGATATAGTGATACAAATAAAATATAAAGAACTGATATCTCCTTACGGAAATTATATATTCCTAGAAAGTGAATATTTCTGTGAAAAAGAAACCCTTTAGCAGCTGCAACATGTAATGCAGTAGCACCAGTACGAAAATGAGGATTATCTTGTATTTCACCATCTTTCAACCATTGTTCTGCATCCCGCCTCATTAGTAATATTTCCCTATAATGCAATTTACATTTAATCATAAAACTAATTTACTGCAAAGTCAAAGTTGCAAAATTTGGAACCAACATACTTTTCAAAAGATCTATCAATTTATACGACTTATTAGATAAATTCCTGGTTACACTGATACAATGAATCAGATGTCAATTAATTTACACAAATTTTGACAGAATCACAATCACACTAAGCAAGAGCATACAGACTGTACCTATTGCGGCATTCATCTGGATCAATACTCTGTCGATGATGCTCCTCTTCAAGAACCATTCGACAGTCATCTTCCTCTGCCAAGTCAAGAGCTAATTCTTTGTCACTATTAGTAACAGAGAGATCAGCACCCCTTGCACACAGATACTCGACTAAATCAATATTACCACAGCAAGCCGCTGCATGCAGCGGAGTCCAACCTACAATGGTATTAAGCCTTTTGCATGGAAACAAAACAAGGAACGCTTTCCAAACAGGAGTAATGGATAAATCTATTCCATGATTAATAATTTTAAATCAATTTATATCGTTTTGCCTGATATAAAACATCCTCTTTCTGCCAAGAAACGTACTTAATTGTGCAAAAAAATTAAAATCTAATATAACCTTCATTATCCTGGGCATTGAGATTAGCTCCATGATCAACTAAAAACTGCACCATTTCTGGCTTACCATCTATAACTGCCTGAAATTTCACATGCAAAAAGTACTAGCTTATGTATTCACAATAGAAAAAAATCAGTTTTCATCGACAATAAAATAAGTTGCCTCAATAAAAACAAATTATCTTATATATCTGTCAAGTACACGAAAGACTTTATATGGAACACTGATGCTAAGTATAATCAAAAAATCTACATTGAAAGTTTAAAAGTCCCCTTACTATGACTCGGACTAGTCAATTACTTTAGCCTATATAGTCAGTTTTCATCATTAAAAAGACATGTAAGCATGGAAAACCTGATGTAGAGCTGTTAAACCATCCACTGTGGTAGTGTTAATATCTGCGCCATTATCAAGCAATGTTCCTACTTCTTCTAGATCACCACTTAAGCAAGCACTTAGAAATATATCGGCATCCTGCAAATTTTCTTACCCCAAACACTTGATCCCATGTGAAAAAATTTTTCAAATACGTAAGTGGAGAAATATCTTACTGCCACAGAAAAATTTCTAAAAAGTTGAAGATGAGAAAGCTCCAGATAATTTTTGATCACATCAAAACGAACAAGGAAAAAATCGACAGAATTAAATACTGAGAAAACAATATAGCTGAAACTGAGAGTTCCATGAATGATTCCGAACAACAACCAAACTGACCGTGAATTTAACTTTAGATTCACGATTAAGTCTTCGAACTGAGGGCAAACGATTAGTTTCTGATGTCTCCCACTTCTCCAGTTGTTCCTGAATTACGAACGAAAGGATTGAAGGTGTTACATACAAAATCTACCAAACATGATGAATATGGAAGCAAAACAAAGAATACTGACAGATACCAAAAATTCATTACCAAATACCATCCGAATATTCTATAAAAAGTTTGTAAAGGTCCTCATATACATTAGTATAAAAAGCAGTCAACAAAAACATGAGAAAATGCTGACATAAAAACTATCAAGGTTTTTACCATTACCAACTAAATAAAGAAAAAGATTCAAAGTATTTTTTCGTGCAATAAAAATTATGAAGGATCGAAAAGATGAGTGAATATTAGTAAGTGAATTGAAAAAAGATAAAGTAAATTACATAAATAAATATCGATAAGGCTTTATCAAAGGGTTCATTATATCTAGCAGATTTACATTTTCAGTATTAGATAGCAGGCATAAACGCAAGACATATCATTAAAAGCTTCAACGATTTTATGAACCGAAATTAGAAAAATAAACTACTTAAAAAAATCACCGATTAAGTCTGCAGACAGTTGAATTCTTAAGCAAGCGTGAATTTGAAAAATATTTAAACGAAAAAATACTCTTGAAATTTTAATTACTTGTCAAAACAAACTAAAAATAAATAAAATAAATGAAAAAGAGAATGGCGAATTTTTTTAAATATCTGTTAGATAATAAAACATCTACTTATGTGCTATCTCAGCGATAAAGATTGCAAAAATGAAATGCGTAAGAAAAAACAACTCTAAAAAAGTTAAAAATCTGATTTATTTGAGCCCTGCACAATATAAGATGTGATAAAATACAAAAAAAAATTGCTGCATAAAACTTTTTTTGTGTAATGAATTGATGTCAATATGTGTTTACTCACGTTTTTCAACTACTGCAACCGAATAAGACATAGAGACTAAAATTTATTCTATTTGTTAACTAATCTGGGGAACACGTACACTAGAAAGGACTCACTTTTCGTCTCCAGAGAACATTACTGCCTAAAACATTCTTATTTTGTTGAAGAAAAGCAAAATGGGACGCTTCCAAAGCTACATCTGAATCTTCTCTCACCATTCCACTAATCATCCAATTCTTTCTCTTTGCGAATGACAACAAAAGAAATCCGAGCAAACGTAATAGTGACTAGTTGAGATAATGTATGGTAAGTGAAACACGACTACAATGCACTATGGTTGCTTCACAGTAGTACATATATTTGGGACCACACATTACAATTTGCAAATACCACCGTTAGCAGATTTCTTATATCTTTCTTTTTTCACGTTTGATAGCACGATTCACTATCGTTCTTTCTAATACCTGCAATTCACGGGTCATCAAGATTACACAAATAATAACACAGTAATAGTTGTCAAATATCATGAATTTTTAATGCTAATGAAAATCATTACAGAAATAAAAGGAGAGCACATAAAGTATGATCAAACTTGCTAAGTTTTTCATCCATATTTTCTATTCGTTGTCTAATATGAAAAAGTTATATCTCCATTGCACTAATAATACTGATTCTTGAAATAATTCATACCGCTTAATAAACTGTGAGAAGAATTTTCAACATAATATAAAATATGCAGCAGCATACAATACACACTTAAGAAGTCAGAGAGCAAAATATTCAATTGGTTTCCTGTAATAGAGATAAAACTGTCAAGATAACACAACTCTCATTACTATACTGACGACAGTGTATGTATACCTTCAGAAAAGTATCGTAGATATGATTAAAGGGTAAGTAGTAAAGATGGATAGGGAGTAGATGAGAGTGAGTGAAGAAGTCTGCCAAGCGTACAGGTAATAAATAACTTACAACTTGCTTACTTACTACCTACCTACCTACCTACCTAACCAATCTCTCTACTTCATTTGTCATTTCATTGAGGTCTTTCCTTAACACTTCTTGACTATCTATCTCTTCATCCCCTTCCTAATCATTAACTCATTCTACTATCACTACTATCCCCACCTACAGCTCCTACCTACATCATCAACATTACCACTACTCCTAATATCATAACTACTACTATTTTAATCAGTCATAATGCTATCACCGATAACTACTTGACCAATCGTCCACCAAATTAATTGAATTATATACCACATTATACCAATTCATTCTAACTAGAAGATTAATATAAAGGAGCATTCATTATA